GGGGACGGAAAGACGTACCTGAAGATAGCTCCAGGTGAGAGCATCAGTGTGAGAGGATCACTCCCACGGGCGCACCTTGTGAACAGGCAAGGCAGGCAACTGCTTGGGGCCACGGACCAGAAGGGGCCCCCCAAAGAAGGTAGATTAAGAAGGTCCACAGCAACGACAACATGAAACACCCTTTAATCCGGCTCCGGGGGGCCCACAGTGAATGTTTGCCTAGGGCCCCCACAGACCGTAGGATCGCCACTGATCACACTTTTACAATTATGATTGTTGATCAAAATGAAAAAACTCTCCAAGTCTAATCAGCATGCACACACATGAACGAGACGACCTTGATGTAACAACATTCATAATTAAAGATAACACCCTTTTCACCCCGGTTACATTTTCCATTTGCCCTGTACGATGAGAGAGAGAGAGAGAGAGAGAGAGAGAGAGAGAGAGAGAGAGAGAGAGTAAGAGAGAGAGCGAGGAGATAGAGAGAGACGAGATAGTAAGATAAGAGACGAGAGAGAGGAGCAGAGGAGAGAGGGAGAGGCAGAGAGAACTACAATACTGTGGAGGGGAGTTATGTCATGAGGGAGCGAATAATGGCATGACCCATATTACATACAGTATTGCCAACAGACTATGTATAGTTTGTTAACATCTATACAAAATACATACAACATAAACAAATGAACAGTTATAAACAAGCTGCTAAGAACATGTTTTTTTTTTACAAGGAATACAGATTCATTTTATTCATATAATACAAAATAGAATATGATATATATACATAAGAGGTGAGACCTGGTCTATCTGCTCATTCTGGTTCCCTCAGACTGTGGCAGGCAGAGACATCACTTAGTTTGTATGAACTTTTATGTTTAATATGCAAATCATGCTAAATCTAATGCCAACTTTGGGTGAATCTAGTAAAAATCTACAATCCATTTTAAATCTGTTATCATGATGATAATAATGTGCCTCTTACCTGTTTTCCTTTTAGACCCGGTGAGAACAGACCGCTTCTTCACCACATCGGGGGACGGAAAGACGTACCTGAAGATAGCTCCAGGTGAGAGCATCAGTGTGAGAGGATCACTCCCACGGGCGCACCTTGTGAACAGGCAAGGCAGGCAACTGCTTGGGGCCACGGACCAGAAGGGGCCCCCCAAAGAAGGTAGATTAAGAAGGTCCACAGCAACGACTACATGAAACACCCTTTAATTTACTGCAACGACATGTCGGGAAACACCCAAGTCTAATCAGCATGCACACACATGAATGAGACGATTCATTTGGTGTAAGAAATGTTAAACTCTTACATGACTTTAGTTTTGTTAACAAACCTTTTAGGAATGAAAGAATCATTTAAAGTAAATAACAAAATGTAAATATTTCAACTGTATTTTATGTTAAAGACCTTCAAAACAGGGGTTCAAATCTTTTAAAATGTCTTCATAGCATTAGGTTTTGGCAACACAAAAGTTTAAAATCATCTTAAAGTAATATTTATTTATATTTGAGTAATAAAAGGTAACTCCTAAGTACCATATGTAGATCTTAATTAGATTTTTTTAAATATTGTTAATCCTCATTGGAGAATGTGACATCACTTTTTCCATCCAAGCCCTGCCCACCTTACACCATCAAGAAGTGCACAGCAAATACACAAAATATCTGATTCAAAAAGTACGTCTCCAGGGCTTTTATCTCTTCCATATCTCAATTCAATTCAATTCAAAACCTTTATTTATCAGGTAAAACCCCATTGAGATCAATGATCTCTTTTTCAAGGGAGACCTGCAGCAGTAGGTTCCACAAGAAGACATAAAAACATAAACAACAGAACAACAAAAGGACATTATACAGCAAAATGTACAGGGATTACAATTTACATATTTAACCACATGTACAGGTACCAACAGCATCTGATTTTGTAGCATCCAACCGAGCTTTAAAAACATGTAGTGGTACTAGCTTGGTAATTGTCCATTCTTTTTGCAGACTGTTCCATGTTAGTGGAGCTGCAGATCTAAAAGCTTTCTTCCCTAAGACAGTCCTAGCACTTGGCACATTTAATAAAACCACAGCATGCGATCTCAGGCAATAAGTACTTTCAATTCGCCGAGAGATCAGGGAGCAGATATAAGATGGTAGTTTATCCAACATGGCTTTGTAAATGAAAAAGTACCAGTGACTGAGCCTCCGTACAGTAAGTGATGGCATAACCGCCTTGGTATACAGGGTACAGTGATGCGTGAGTGCTTTACAATTTGTCAAAAATCTCAGTGCACTGTGATACGCAGCATCTAACTTGCTCAGGTAATTGGCAGGTGCATTCATATATAACAAATCACCATAGTCCAGCACAGGTAAAAAGGTCACAGTGACTAGCCTTTTCCTGGCCTCAAGCGAGAAACAGGACTTATTCCTGTAAAAGAAACCTAGCCTAACCCTCAGCTTTTTAAGCAGGTTATTCACATGACATTTAAAAGTGAGACAATCATCAAGCCAGATACCAAGGTATTTGTAACAGGTAACCACTTCAAGTTGTATTCCTTGCGTAGTTACAATATCCAAAGCAGTCTCCGGTGTATTTTTAGCTTTAGAAAAGAGCATTGCCTTGGTTTTATCCACATTTAAAAGAAGCTTAAGCTCAGAGAGCTGAGCCTGAATAATGTTAAAAACAGCCTGTAATTTAACAACAGCCTCGTTAATCGAGGGACCTGCACAGTACATAACGGTATCGTCCGCATAAAAATGTAAGGTATATATCTAAATCCCACTTGTTTCCTCTCCCCCAGCGTCAGCGATGCCTCCTTCCCCCTCAGAGAAGACGCTTCTCTCCGGCTCTGATTTCTCCTCCAAAGCCGTGCTGTGTCTGATTGAGGCGGTGGGCCGGCGCTGGGGCCTCTACGAGACCCGGGAGCGCTCACAGCTCTTCCAGAGTGTCCAGGAGGAAATGGCCTCCAAGGGCCACCTGCTTCCTGTCGAAAAGATCCGCCGCAAGTGGAACAACCTCATCGTCACGTACAAGAGGGTCAAAGACCGCAGCCAGGAGACGGGACACGCCAAAACGTCCTGGGAGTTCTTCGATGTAAGTCTTCAAGAAGCCCTGCTGTGCTTTTTGGGTTTTTTCCCGAACACTGTTTCGATTTCTATGAATAACTTTGATGCTAGTTTAGATCGGCAGCTTGCTCTATAAATGCAACTGGATCATGTCTGATCCATACCATGAACCATGTTTATCGATAGTGAGTGCAATGCAAGCAGGTGTTTTTTTCAAGAGTTTTATAAGGAAGGTTATAATTAATCTAAATAAAAGTCCCATTAGGGGACTAATATACTTTCAGATCTCCGTTCCCTTTGTCGAAGTCATTTGGATGATCTCTCATGCTCTGCCTTTATACCCGATATATACACACCATGTTTAAAGCTCTCATAGCTGAATTTTCACTTTGAGCTTTACCAAGCATACTGTATTTCAAATTCAAACCGACCCAGCGGGTGACCTTAATCTGTATGAGGGCATTTAATTTCAGAGGTACAAATAATGGCCCGCCCTGGGTCTGCATTAAGGAATAATGTTATTGGCTGTTTGCCAGGTCTCCAACAACAGCCATTGTCCAATCATAGCTTAACCCTCAAAATCCGGCGCAGCAGGCCTGTCAAGCTTTAGATTTCTCTGCATGTTGACACAGTGTACATAGTGCCGTAGTAAGAGCGGTAGAGCTTACTCATTGTATGAGATTGAAGTATATTCTATACATTCACCAAAAAACCTGAAACAAAGGTGTTTAATCGCTTGTTTAATTCCTTTTTCCATCTCTTCGTGTTGATCTTCTTTCACTCTAGTTGATGGACGCCACTCTCTGCGACACCGTTGGCACTCAGGTCATCAACAACAAACGAAACAAAAGCGGGAAGGCGGTTTCCACGCTGCCTGGTCCTTTGGCCAAGATCGCTGCGAAACCTGAGGCAGCCCCCCCCACCATCATCCAGCCCAATGGGGACTTTGCTTCGAGCGGTGGTGTGGACTCAGTGGGTCAGGGAGCCATCAGCGGTCAACTCATCAGTACTGCTGCTGCCATGCCCTCAATGACCACCGTTAGCCCACCGAATGCTCCCGAGCTCAAACCCCTGATCATCAGTGACACTGTTACAACCAGCATTCACCCAGCCACCATTGTGCCATCCCCATCGTTTATTTCCTCTCCTTGTTTTACAGAGACAGCTTCTCCTTCCCTTCTTAGCTCCACTAGCAACACGGACCACAACACATCGCGATACGTAGGCCGTAAAGCTCCGTTGTTCTCATCAGGCGTTGTACCCTTTCGTCTTAGCAATGCGCCGCTCTGCAACACCCAGAATCTCCTCAGCCTTTCCTCTTTCCCCCCTACTTCTTCCTCTCTCACTCCTTCGATTTCCCACGCAACAACCATGTCCATGAGCGAAGGACAGAGCCAGAAAGGGAACGAGGAGCCGAGCAGCGCCGCTTTGTCGCAGGAGATCCTGCAGCGACAGGAGGAACAGTCCTACCTGGATCGAGTGGCTGGACGCCGAGTGGAAGCCAGGGAGAAGAGGCGCGAGAGGAGGGAGGTCCGGATGGCAGGGTCCCTCGGCAGGATAGCCACCGCCCTGGAGCTGCTCTCCTCCAAGCAGGACACAGTCATCGCCCTCCTGCAGAGACTGGCTGATCGGAAGTGATGGAGGCCGGAAACCTGGAAATCAGTCCCTCTGTAGTCCACGCTAAAGCTGCATTCACATGACACGCGGTAAACGGCTCTGCGATGTCGTTGTGTTTTTATGGGAAGATCGGTTGTGCCTGACTACGTGGAAGGGCTAGCCCTGGCATCGTGGGACGCTCAAAACATTTGTACGAGCTGATCACTTTTCTACGTTAAGGGATGAGTTGGTGTTTTTCAGCCTGGGTCGAAATGGGTCCAGTAATGAGTGAGAGCACTGCAGCTGCAAAACATACTGCAATGGAGTCGCTCGCAGTCATTGTTAGGAAATTGGCAAAATGCTTGACTTACAGGCTCAGATTTGTATTAAGTGTCTGACTTCCTTACAGAAAATATCCTACAAAGACATTAAATGTTTTACTTGACCTTTCACCTCATTAAGTATATCTGTTATTCCAATTAACCAAATCTCGCACAATAATCCTCAATAATCTTTGTGACACATCGTTAAATGTTTTTTTTTGACAAAAGTGGGCTACACTTTTAATACTCCCACACAATCAATTTCACAATAAAGGCATTTCTATATCAACTCTCCCTAAGGTTTTCACTGTTGTCTTCGGGCAACAAGTCAAATGACACAATAACAAACAACGACGTTCGTTGACATTGCAGAAAAGCCCCCCAATGCAGCCCATTTTGCAGCTCTCACTCAATGCTGGCCCCTTATCAAAAATAGTTTTCCCACTTGAACACAAAAACATGGGGAAGATGTCAAGGTTATAAAATACCTAAATGAACCTTTAAGCATAAGTGACATGGGTGGCTATTGTTACATGTCTTACAGTATAATAAAATACATGTCAAACATTCTCCTTCAACCTTTGGTTCATATGATTTTGTCTCAGTAGATTAAAGTACAATACATAGTAATTGTTATCTCTTGAGAAGAGGCGAAACTTTTGTCAACATTTGCTCTTGGCACAGAAATGCACAAATGATTGCCAATGTTTTTTCAAGTTAGGTTCAAAGTTTTATCCTTTCTGTCAACACTCACGCCCCCATATGTACATGGAGTCCATTTTTGGTCTGCGAAACAATTATTTATTTCAATACTGGCCAAGAAGATTTCCCATCCTAATGTTATTCACTGTGAAAGTAAGAGAAGGAGAGAAAATCTACACTATATGTTGAACCCAGTGAGGATCTCCTATTGGATCAATGTTGGGTAGTTAAAGTTTTCACACTAAGCAGTTTGATCAGATTAAACTGAAATGGTTTCACTTTTGTTTTTTATTAGCATGGTTTAGTAGCATACATGTTGTTCAAAGCATGTGACTTTTCATTTGAATAACACAAAAGAACGGTTTAATGTTTTACCATGAATGCAATGTACTTAAAAAGTATGCTTTTATATTGCGTTTTAATGTTGGCAATTCTTTTTTAGGGGAGCATTTTGCAGACCTTTGGACCTGAACATATGGAAAACTTTAATTGTTGTGTCAGTATCCGGCCTTTATTACATTTCCTTCGCATCATCACATTCATTTTTGCTCTGCAGTGGCAGGACAGGCAACTGGAGAGTGGACCGATCGAAATAAAATAAACTTTAATAAGAACTATATTTTCAGAATCAGTGTCTTTATATTCAGAAAGTGTAAAACAGGCTTGACATCAGGCCTGGTGCTGAGCAAGAGGATCAAGGTAAGTATTCAATGGATGAACTTTATTCAAAATAATTCAGGCTGATTAATGAAGTTTGCTTGTCTTTCTGAAACCAAAGCTTCTTTATTTAAAGAAAACTAAGTAAAATACATTTCTGGTCACTTATTTTAATTACGTTTGAATTATTCACGGTTTTTATGATTATTTTGTGCAATGTGACTGTTAATGTTTTGGTGAGTGGTGACCTCTGTTGGTTTCTTTAAAACATGAATATGTCTCTGCTGGGTGGAAGAGCTGAACATCATCGAGGTGAGTCAGTCACTTGTTAGTTTCTCTTTCACTTCCTTTGTTTGTGAACAGCAGCGGTAAGACACTCTCGTTATTCTGGGGATTCTTAGACAAATGTAAAGCTGGTTATTTCTTCTGGTTTTTTCTCGTACTGCATTTTGGTAAAACAAATGTAACTGGACATAACTGTTGTGTGTTTGCTGTAACTCAGTTATAGTAGCCGTGCCTGTGTGCATGTGACGTTAACTCCCTCTCTAACTTTCCATAACATTCGGGTGGAGAATATTGATTTGTCTCGCAGATTTCGGCTTTTTTAGATGATTTACTTCAACTGGATCGCTTAAAGTCAGTTAATGCGGTTGAACCATAGGGTTGAACCCATTACCTCGCGCCAGGAAAAGCGGAAATAGACGGGAATATGTATAGGACCATTTTATCAGATTTGGGGTTGTCAACAATGGCCCGTAGTCTCTGTTTGGTGTAAAAGTTGTAATCTTTCTTGCAGAAAGGACCGTGTTTTAGCGGTCGGAATTAGCCGTAAAACTTCCACGTTTAGGGGATTTATTTGTTTTAGATATCAAAAAGAAAATGTAATAGGCCAACGGAGGGGTGTGGCGCAGTGGTTAGAACCAAGTTCAAACCCCACTGCAGTCAGCATTTCGTTGTGTCCCTGGGCAAGACACTTCACCCCAAATTGCTCCTGTGGGGATTGTCTCCGATGTGCGGCCCTACGTAATAACCTGTATAGAAACAATAGCAATATGTATTTCATACTGCTGGTACAGAGGAACTCTTTATTATTTATACTCTAAATTATAAAACTCCAAAATGCAACTTTAAAATACCAAAAACATATAGGATAAGTTGAACGGATGTATAATATGGCAAGGGCCACATGAGAATAAATAAAATAGGATGTTACCAAAAGCAATTTACATTTTTTTTTACTTTTGGTCACATTTTTCTCATGTGAGATTTGGGAGCCAAACGTAAGGGTATGTGTGAGTTTTGTGTAATTATGCGTAGGCATTTCCTTACTAGGTAAATACTGGCAGGAGCAGGACACTGTAAGCCTGTAAAACATGTACTGTATCCTGCCTTTATTACATTTCCTATGCATAATGTCACTTTCATTCTCCTTCATTGGCAGTCAGGAGTCAGGACTGAGAGAGTGAAATCTACATCACATTGAACTTCCCTCCTAAAACCCATCTTGGCATCCGGAGGGTGAACACTGTAAACACTGACATAACAAAGAATCGATGGAAGAGGTTAATGTAAACAAACTCGACATCATGCCTTGTGCTGAGCAGGAGGACCAGGGGAATCGTAAGTAGGAAAATGAACTCTTATATATTTCAGTTGGTCTCTCTGTTTTCAGATGTCCATAGACAAAAGCCACATTATTGAAAAATAAACTGAACTTAATTTACAAGGATTTAAGCTGACTTTTTAACTGTTTGTGTGTGTTCTGTCTTAAACTGAAGCCTCTAAGCAAATCACCTCATGTCCTCTTTTTATTTCAATAATTTTTATTTTTTATTTAACCAGATAAAAGCATTGAGATAAAATCTCATTTTCAATGCTGACCTGGCCAAGAAGGCAGCAACGTTACACATAACACAAACATATAAAATGCAGAGAACATAACTAAGAAAACAAAAGACGAAAAAGCAGTCACTACATTGTGCACATTATGACAGTAAGAAAGGTGCACTACTTATTACTGCAAGAGCAGCTGGTGGTAAGGACTTCAGACAACTTCAATTTAAAACATGCTATTGAGACAAGTGCCCTCAGTTTGAGGCGTGATTGAAGGTCATTCCAAGACCAAGGACCATCATAAAAAAGACTCCTTTTCCCAGCCTCAGTCCGCACGGCAGGAACCTGGAACCGTATCCAGGCTCTGGATCTGAGGTTGTAAGAGTCACAAACTGGAGAAAATCTGGCACAAATATACAGTGGAAGCTTACCATGGCTTTATACATTAATAAAAACCCATGCTGCATCCTACGCATACTAAGTGAGGACCATCCAGTTAGGCTATACAGTTTGCAATGATGAGTCCTATAGGGTAGATTTGATATATAACGCAGTGCAGCATAGTAGAGTGGAGTAGAGTATAACATTTCATTTGGTGAATACTCAAAAAGTAAATAAAATACCTATGTATTTTTTGGTTAAAATGTCTAGTGTTCACCTCTTGCACGCCTGTTATGGTGAATACACAGTGGCAGTACATTACTCAAATAACGAACTATACTTGTAGCACCATTTAAAAATATTTAGAGCGAGGCAACTTTACAATTTCTACTCTCTCTATGGACCTCTGGAATTTTAGCCTTTGCAGCCCATTTAGATGCACAAAAAACGGATATAACACACTACAGGAAAGGGAAACCCACAAAAAGCAGAATAGGGCCCCTGTAAGGGTGATATGGTCCTCAAGATGTTGGAAAGAATCCCCTATTTCTGCTAAATAAACCATTTCAAACATGTTGGTGATAACACTTGCATGCGTTTACTTAAGTTAAGTCTTGAATGCCAAACTTTTTCTTGTACTGAAGTATTTTCATAGTGTGGTACTTTTACTGCAGTAAAAGAAGTAAATGTCTTACACCACCGCTTATGGACCACCATTATAACCACTATTTAAACACTTGAATAAAGCTAGCTGGGCTTCAACAAAAATGAGTAAAGCTTTCAAAACTAAGCAGATTGTGCCCGTCTTGTAAAATCTTTCCCATTTGTTGAATTCACAGATGTGCCGCCCCTGAGGATCATGCTTCTTGGGAAGAGCGGGGTCGGCAAGAGCTCGAGTGGGAACACCCTCATCGGAAAACAGGTGTTTCTATCAGACATGAGGCTGAAGAGAGTCACTCAATACTATGAGGCGGGTAGCGGGACAGTCAAGGATGTTCCCGTCTCTGTGAAAGGGGAAACAAAGGATGTGCCTGTCACTGTGATTGACACTCCCGGACTTTTTGAGACAAACCGCAACAAGGAGGCACTAGTGCGGGATATTCTGAAGTGTGTCAAACTCCAGGAACCAGGACCTCACGTTTTTGTGTTGGTTGTCCCGGTAGGAAGGATGACTCAGGAAGACGAAGACACCAACTCCCTGCTGGAGGAAATGTTTGGCCCGAAGATTTGGGACTACACCATCGTGCTGTTCACCCATGGGGATCGTCTCGAAGGTAAAATGATAAACGGCGTCATCACCGAGAGTGACGACAAACTCCGCAACTTCCTACGAAAGTGCAGCGGTGGCTTTCACATCTTCGACAACAAGAACCCGCAGGACCAGGAACAAGTGATCAGCTTCCTGGAAAAGATCCAGACCTTGGTGGCCCTGAATGGAGGGCGACATTACAAAACAGATCTGTATCCAAAGCAGGAGAGGAAGATAAGAGAAATACAGGAGAGCATCCTGGCAGAGAGAGCTAAGGAGATATGTGCCAAAGAGAAACAGCTGAGAGAGCATTTGAGGGGGGAAGACCTGGAAAAAGGCTTGATCGAGATGTGGAGAAAAGAAGAGGACAGAGCAAGAGAGGGTGCAAAGAAATACATCCGTAAGAATTCCTACTATTGGACTTTCATTCTCTTCCTGGTAGGAATAGCACTGCTATGTTTCTGTCTTCAGACACCAGTTGTGTTGACTCTGGTGGTATTTTTTTTTTTGATTGTGATTTTCCTCAAGAAATGGTTTATTCGTTCAGCTATATCAGGAAGAAATCCACAGCTTTTTAAGAAAAAGCAATAGGATTGAGTGTGTTTTGAGATAGTGAAGCTCATCCAGAATGCAGTTGCATGATTGGTCGCTCACTTGCTCACTTGACCCAGAAACCGTTCAACAAAAATACACCTGTTTGCTATCCTGACTTCAAAATGCTGGAACGATTTCCCATTGGCATCAGGACAGCAGGAAGTCTACACATCTTCTGTTGCAAACTATTTCCACTTCACCTACGCTTAACAAGGATTAAGTTAAAAAAAAAAGGGCGCAGAGAATCATATACACGTGACTTCCTACATTTACATTAGATAAAAAACAAATAAACCAGTATTCAGAATTTGAAACGGCATATTCAGATTTTGGCCATGTGTATCATTTTCTGATAAATATGTGTGAGAAATGACCATATTTATCAAGTTTTAGTTGGTGATGTATTTAGTGAATTTGGAATATGCATCTTAATAAGGGATTTTTACCGCTTTTGCGACTGATTGGGGCGGTGGTGGCGAAGTCGATAGGGACTTGGCTTGGCAACTGGAAGGTCACCAGTTCAAGTCCCGGCAAGACCAAGTGCTACCGAGGTGTCCCTGAGCAAGGCACCGTTCCCTACACTGCTCCCCGGGCGCTGTTCAAAATGGCAGCCCACTGCTCCTAACACTAGGATGGGTCAAATGCAGAGAAACAATTTCCCCACGGGGATTAATAAAGTATATCAAACTATCAAACATCGCAGCGGCAGCTTTTTCAGAAGGTGGTTGATCAAAGAGGGACTTGCGTTCAACTGGTCGATACAAGGGCCCCACCACTCATTCAGTTAATCGGAATTGAATATTAATCCTAACTATTGCAAGAGCCGAGTATAATGACCAAAACTATATATGTTGTGTTTGTTTAAATATTCATTATCAGTGGGTTAATTTAGTTATTAAGTCTCTAATGGATGTTCAACTATTGCTCCTGATTTTTCTTTCAGTTTTTTAAACATGTTTGATTTTTCCCCCTGTGCTATCACATATAACCTTAAAGAGAGCTAGCTAATCATATTATGTTTAAAGTGGTATTTCGTGTCAAAAATAACTTCTTGGTGTTAAATCTGGGTGTTTTGTGATTAATGCAGTGTGCAATGTGACTGTAAATACGATGGGATGGCGACCTCTGGTGGTTTCTTTAACACATTAACATGACACCGGACCAGTCAGTTTGAGTCAGTTACTTAGTTGTTTCTGTTTACTTTCCTCTGTTTTGGCACAGCAGTGGTAAGACACTCTTTTCTGATTTCATTTTGTCAATGCTTATTCTGGTGATTTTCTTTTTTTTAACAAATGTTCTGATTTCACGTAATACATTTTTGTAAAAAAATGTACATGGACAAAATAAACAGACATACTTTCAGACTGCTGTGTATGCTGAGAAGCTCAATATCTTTGAGAATGTACATTATTGCAAGACTGTCCTAGCAGCGTATATACTACAGTATATAGCTATCTTTAATATATATTCAACAATATACTGTATCCTTCCTGCAGCATATAACACACTTTATCATATCATACTGAGCAACCATCTCACATAAACATATTTACATCATATAATATATACTTTAGGTGTCTCTAGGCTATTAACAAATACACTGATAAACATAAACTCATAAAACGCCACCAGTGACCAATAGGCATATCATGTATTTATTTTTGCTATGTTTGTAAATGTCTTGTTCTTTTATGTTGTATTGTGAGGGACTACGGATGGAAACTAGCTCAAAGCTCAAATCCGGCATATTTACACTTGACGCATTATTTGTTTAAAGTGTTCATTAATGTGCATTGTCCCTGTTCAAATAAACGATTAAAATAAATGCATCTCAAATTACATTGGGACATAATAACGTTGGTTTTGAAACCTTATTAAAACACACACGTATATACCGCCTCTGTCAACAACAATGGTAATGGCTACGATATGTACTATACACAGAGGTGGGAGACGTACTCAGATCGTGTACTTGATTAAAAGTAGAAGTACTCAGATCTTGTTCTTCAGTAAAAGTAGAAGTACCAGAGTGCATTAAGCTTTATTGCAGCGGTGTCAAACTCAAGACCCGTGGTCAAAATCCGGCCCACAGCCTCATTGTATCTGGCCAGCAAGAGCTTGCAAAGAATATAATATACAATGGTGTAATTGTTGAATATTTGCTTTCAATTATTTGCCTTAGACTTCTGCTTTCAGACGTCGTTATTTATGAAGTTATTACCAGAACTGATAATAGTCCAATGCAGAGCCAATAATGTAATATATAATACATTATTTAATATATATCATATATTTACATATGTATATTTATATAGTCTTAAAGGTCCCATGTCATGCTTTTCCGGTTATTACCTGTCCCCTTGTGTGGGGGAAGGTTTTTCTGCATGTACACGGTCTGCAAAGTCACAAACCCTCAAAGTACACCCTGTAGCGAGTAAAACTCTAGCACAGAAAATACCTGTCTATGCTCGCCTGTCCTCCTACAAAAAACGACAATATAGGCCGATTGTTCATGCCCTTATTACGACCCAGAGCCACGTTTTAAAGTGTATGTTGTTTCTTACACGACCACTAGAGGTGCTCTAGTGGTCGTGTAAGAAACAACATGCTCCCGGCCCGTTCAATGCAAACGCTCCGGTGGGACGTTTATTCACAAATAACCCTCTCTGGAAAATCCTAAATTGTGGAATACTTTGGCCATTAAAATGCTTTTTGATTCGATTTCTGGCGAGAAGTGTATTGTACTCTTAGAATTCACGTCCAGTCGATGTGTAGGATCTATAGTTTGATAGATATTACGAAGATGATTTGAGGTCTCGTCAGGATAACGTGTATGCAGCTTCCATGTAAAGTTAGCTTGGGTGAAAACAGTTTTTCCGGTGTAGGTACTATATCTGCACGGCCTACCCATGGATGTATAATAAGAACTGGATACAGCGCGGGAGGCGGGGCCTCATTCATTCCTATGAGAGTGGCTCATTAGCTCATGATGATAAAATGGCCCAACTTTTGAGAGTGAAATGTCACAGATTACCCGGCATGCCTGAGAAGTACCCGTATGTGCGATCATAGCGCATGCGCAACTTTAACCAAAATGCTCGTTCATATCAAGCACGTCAATTTGCGTACACGTAACAGCACCGCGCGTTCATGACAGCATGGTAATGGCTTGTTGTTAGCGGCAGTTAGCAGCTAGCTAGTAATGATGCTAATGTGCACATCAATCGTTATGTAGGCTACTTATTACATTACGTTGTGACCATAGACTGTATATATAAATGGACGTAGGGTCCGTGACGTCACCCATATAATTCTGCAGTTGCCGTGAAGCCCTTAGTAGGCGGAGTCGGCCACTAACGGCTCAACAGTGACGTTAGAGTTCAACTCCCGCCTTCTGCAAATAAGGGCAAAGAGGCGGAGCCGAGGCGGGACCTCCTGCCACCGAGCTGAAAGTTCCAGAGCTAGCTGAAGCTACCAAGCTAAGCTAACATGCTCCCCATCTGCACGCTGCCGTCGCATTTTACGTTTCTAAGGTAAACGGACATGAAACTATAAATAATAATCTAAGTTATTGAGTTTTTAGCATAATACTTCAGAATCTTAAAACCCCTTAACATTTGTATGCAATTGTGCTGAATTCAACACTGGAATCAAGCAAATATTAATATGTTTGCATGACATTAGTTATTTATATTTTAATATCACTTAACTATACGTTTAATACATTTAAGTCAAGCTAAGGTACATGTGATGGTAGCTAGTTAGTGCTCTTACCTGTGAGGCCTCCTCCAAACAGCATAATAACCAGACTGTATCATTAAAACTAAGTACCAGTTCTAGATCCTTGACTTTAGACAAACAATTTAAAAGATAAAATGTATTTAAAGACCAATCTTTATTTGAATGTGCTTCTTAACCTGAGATATTAGTTATACAGTAATAGTATTGACAATCTAAAAAAACTGAGCAACTCAACAGTCAACTTTATGTTTCTTATTGTCTAAAGCATTTATTATTTTCATTTTCCCCCTCTCATATTCAGTGTGGACGGATTGAGACAGTCTGGTGTCCAGAGAGCAGGAGAGACTTCAGGGAGAAACCTCCGTGTGATGGACGTCCTGTCTGTTGGTTTGGAGAGGACTGAGGGTCTTCCCTCTGCGAGGAGGACCAGGCCTGATGGAGGAGCCCATGCTGGGCAAAGCTGATACCAACTGCACAGGCCTAGTCTGTCACTTTATTTGACTAAATGTGTTTACTTATACATTTAATAGGTTTACACCTTCTGTCCATATGTGCTTTTGGTTCACATTTCAATAAATTGTATTTGTATTTGCTCTCCTTTTGTCCATTATTCTTACTGAAAATGTTAGATTACAAATTCACATCTGACTGAAGATTGGCCCCATTTATTTGTGACGTTGCAAAACAAGGTACATGTTGTGAAGCTCATAAAGTGAGGCAAATAGAAATAATCAGCTGATGGAGTGTAGATGTGGAAATAGCTGCATTCGATCAGCTGACTGTTTTTACAATAAAAGTAGTTTCTTAGTGAATGTCCTGTACTGGTCTTAAAATCTCATAACATCAGCTTTTAATGTTCCTCTTGGATGTTCTTCTTGACCCTCAGAGAAGGAGAACATGTCGTGTCTTTCAGGCATGTCCTTCCCTAATAAATATGACAGGAAACATAAAACATATTATTGCAGAACAAGTGTGTTATTTATGAAAGCAGTGTGTTTGTGTGTTTAGGGGCTGTAGATATAATTATTTTGTAATTGTAATGTTTTTGTTTTATTTCAACAATGAGCTACAAAGACAATCAGATTATGAATGAACAGTATGAAGTTCATCAACATTGAAATATATGTTATCAAAATAATATTTAACTGTTATCAAAACGTAGTGCAGCTGTAGAAGCTTGCTCTGTTGTCTCACTGAAAGAATCACTTTTACCACGTTTTTTACAGACAATATTGAGAGATAAATAGTAGCAGTTCTCACTATGTGTTAAATATCTTTGCCTTCAATACATTAAATTAGAAAGCTGACAAAGTCATATTGCTAAATATCTAAATGTAACTTTTTGCATGGAAAAAACCCTCAACTTCACTGATGTGTAGGTGATCTAGTATTTAGTATTGTTTAATGGAATGTATATCAGTGTATTCAAGTCAATACTTCATTCATTTAAACCAATATATTTCTTGATTCTTTGTACAGTATGAAAAAAGAGTCTTTGTACCTGTGCTGAAGTTCACTGCTGTGAGGAGTCCAGTTCTGTCTCTCACTCTCTGGTCCAGCCTGTCTGCATCACCTGGACACTTTAAACAAACAGATATATATGTAAAGTACCATGTGTTCAAACAATATAACTGATTCTCTTCTGTTGAACATGTTGGATTGTGTATTGTCCGAGTCAGGGTCCTTTTTATTTTACTGTAACTTTGGAAATTGTGTTACCAATGCTTACTGTTTATTTGATACCCATTTGGTAATGCAATTAATAAAAACTTCAAGGTTTGGGTTCGTTCTTCAGATGACTGTGACGTTAACGTGTAAGCTCAATAATGAACTCCAGCTCAACCAACCATATTGTAATATCTAAGTAATCATCTTGAAATATGACATTAATAATTGTAATATACACACATCTTATTGTGAGGTTGATTTCACATACACTACTTCGACATTAACTTGTCTACATACTTGAGCATAGCCAATTTAAATTAACCTTAGATGCATACAGTTCTACCTACATAATAAAAGATCTCTAAGTTACAAGGATGTAACCTTATTTTATCAACCTCAAACAGAAGCCGTTTGTTCAACAGTATTATCCCACTTAACACTTGTCTATTTCGTTGTAACCTTTATATATACAGTCTATGATTTTAACTTGGAGGCTACGATTACAATCGTTAGCACCGATGTAGCTACCACTAGCCACTAACTAACCCAAGCCAAGCCTTACCATTCATTACGTAGCTGATTAAAATCATTAACACATAAATAAAGCACTCAAATTTCACTTACCGCATTCATGCACCGTCTGTTTTAACCGCAGAGCGAGTCACAATAGTCCGATATATAAGCATGAAGAACAAACAACCACGGCCGGCTACAAGTTGTGTTTCCTGGATGAGCTGAGCAGGCAGAGTCCCTGTAGCTTCACGGAGCAGCTAGCAGAGAGACAAGAAGCTAACAGCGGCAGGCACTTGACAGAGCCGTCACTCAATGTGACCACGCCCTAATCTATGCACAAACTTTAAGACCTAATATAAATAAAAGGGTCGCGTTAGAAAACAATTCACTCACAGATCCATAATCATGAAGGTGGAATCTAACTATATCGCTAATACAATGTATGGAGCCAGGGGTAGAAACATGTTTTTTTCTGCTGTAAAGTTGGGCATTTTAACATGGGGGTCTATGGAAATTGCTCCTTTCTGCAGCCATCGCCTATCGGCCAATATATGAACTGCAGTGTGTGGCACTTCCGTATTGGCTTCCCGGCTCTACCCCACAGTTTGCCGCTTGGTTGTAACAGGATCTAGTGATATCCAAGCAACAGAGCTTCATTTAGCATGAAATAATTATTGCACTGTATATATACACACACAGTGCAATAAGCTTCTTAGTGCAATAAGGAGCTACAGCAGGGGTGGCCAACCCGCGGCTCTCGAGCCGCATGCGGCTCTTTGCCTAGTTTCATGCGGCTCTTCAGTTCATATCGAATTGTATATGTGTGAGTTTGGGGGAGAGACACTGACTCCTGACTAGTGTTGCACGGTGTACCGATACTTGAAAGGTACCGCGATACCCTGCCGTTAAAAACGTTACTATTCCTCCGTTTCATAAGTATCGGTACTTTAAGAATGACGGGGAAAAGTACTCCGGTGAGAAAGCGCTGTTTTAATAAGAGCCGTCTGTGTTCAGCGCTCTGCTTCCACTCCCTGCACTGCAGCCGTGCCTGCAGTCCCGCCCCTCTCAAGCACGCTCAAGTGCCTCCCCTCTCTCGTGCACGCGCTAGCTGGCAGAGCACGTGAGAAAACGAGAAGCATGGCTGCACGTGGGAGTGCAACTGCCGCTGCGCCTCAGTTTGTTGACAAAAAAGACGCCAGAAGTGACATTTGGAAGTATTTGAGCTATATCTCTGACAGTGAGAGCAAGCCTACGGACACCACGAGGCCTGTCTGTGAGAAATGTATTAATTTGATTTAATACGAATTCTTGTCATTTCTTTTATTTATTGTTCTCATTGTTTAAAAGTGTGTGTTATGGTTATGGTTCTGGTGTGAAATAAAGCACAATAATTACATTTAAGACTGTTTCCCTTTTTTTAAGAAAAGTATCGAAAAATAATCGGAATCGCAATTCTTGACTTGGTATCGAAACCAAAATGTTGGTATCGTGACAACACTACTCCTCAGAGTTAAACCTGATATTTAGTAGGTCTGTTAAGTATTGAATGCTGATCATTCTGACGTAATTTGGCCGGTCAAAGTTGTTTGGGCTCGGATAAAATCGCTCCGTTACTTTCGTCCCGTGTTACTTTCGTCCCGTGTTACTTTCGTCCCGGCTCTCCCTACGTGTGTATGTGTGGTGTCAGGTGTCAGTATGAGAGGATGACAGCGCGTCTAATTTTGATGTGGCCCAAGAGCCAATCACAATAATACCTGTGATGCAGTGAACCAATCACCTTTGAGGGGGGGAAAACCTATCGTTGATTAAACATTATCCAGTGTTTCCACTACCATTGTCTTGGAGGGGCGCTGCGCCCCGCCAACGGAGCCCCGCGCACCCCCTGAAATTCAAGGTGTTTAAAAAATATATATAATTATTATTTTTTTAAAATATATATATAGCACCAAATTGCAAATAATCTATAACTACTGTCACTTTTAACATTGAACATGTGCTCTTTTATTAAATAAACTAAACACTTTCATTTTAAGTTGTGAGTTTAGTGTTTTTGACCCTAAGAAACACTGATGCATTAATCAATAACAATAATCCACAGCTCCTCTCTCTGCTCCAGAGGATTTAAAAAAAAAATATCCCAATGCCACAAAAATGCATCAGTGACGTGGTTGAAATCTTGTCTCCAGAAAACAAAAAACTGAAACAAGCGGTATCAGTGACATGGGTTTGATGTGGCTCTTAGTAACAGAACAAATGTGGCTCTTAACCTCTGACTGGTTGGCCACCCCTGAGCTACAGGGACGTTAATCTAACGTCGGTAATATTAACTTTATTTAATACAACATTTACGGTACAAGATTTAATCATACAGCCCATGTAGTATACTATTTTACAAATGATGAATTACAGCAAACATGTGCAATATATCCATTATTACAGCTCCGTGGGCTGGCAGCGATATGGGTCCGTTGTTATTGTGCATCCATGGGTAAAGATAAACGCATGTAGTGCTGAACACGTAACATGAACGTGCAGGGGGGCGCGGTCCCGTGGGTTAGATGCGCGTTCATAATGCAGAGGGAAATAACTCTCAGAATAACGTTATTAGCACATTTTTACAACTTGAGGAACGAATGTTTTTAATAAGGGCTATACAAGTGTTCATACTGGGTAGTTTATTTAGTTAAAAAAACGATTTACAGATCACTCTTTCCCCATGTAAATCAATGGGAAAACGTGTTTCCGGGCCTGGCAACCAAACGGATGTGCAGTACCGCCGTTTGGCCACCACGAATATTTTCATCTGAGTCCGGCGCACTTCCTGGGGGCTTGGCATAAGCAGCATAAGGCATAAACAAACACACAAGGTAGAAGATGGCGGATATTCGTGCAATAAGGGGTGCATTTTTGTGGACTGACGACGAGGTAGAACTTCTGCTTAGGGTCACACTAGAGTACAAAACGACCAAAGTACAGGAGAATGTTGACTGGGAGTCCTGCAAGTGTAAATATATCGATATTTCTCGCGCATTTCACGAGCAGTATCCGAGGACCCGGGCAGACAAGGATTTCCCTCACGACGCGAACGCCATTACAAGGGTCCAACTTACCGCCAAGCTTAAGCAAATTCGCACCAAGTACAGGCAGTTGGTGAACACTGGGAGTCGGAGTCACCAAGGACGTGTTATGCTCTTGTTTTTCGAGCTGTGTGAAGAGGTCTGGGGTGGCTCGCCTTTTACGTGCCCCATTGGCTCCCCTGCTACGCGCACCATTAGCTCCCTAAGCTCCGGCATCGAGACGGGGGACCTGGAAGAGTCGTCTTCCGGACAAAGTTTATCCCCGAGTTTGGAGCGTTCCAAAGATTTGCCACAGCCGAGCCAATCCAGCGAAAGTCTGCCAGCTGCGGTTGTAAAGCATCACAGGGATCTGCTCCAGGTATGTTCATGATTTCAAGCTTAACGGACTTGCTATATACTATGATACAGTACCTTCCACAGAAAAACTGAATATTTTTAAGCTTTGTAAAAGTAGAAGGTGTTGTATTTGTAAAAGTTGAATGTGCTATTTCACAACATGCCTTTGGTCTTATGTTATCTGGTGTCTACGGTGGCCCTGAAGTGCAAGACACCACAGCATTTCAGAAAACACCACATCATGTGAAACCCAGATTTGGCACAAAAAAGGGGGAATACACGTTTCAATGTTTATTTATATAGCCCAATATCACAAATGTTACATTTGTCTCAGTGGACTTTACAGTTTGTACAAAATATCAGTATGACAATACGACACCCTCTGTCCTTAGACCCTCTGTCCTTAGACCCTCTGTCCTTAGACCCTCTGTCCTTAGACCCTCACATCGTACAAGGAAAAACTTCCGAAGAAAACCCACAGTTTAAAGGGAAAAAATGGGAGAAACCTCAGGGAGAGCAACAGAGGAGGGATCCCTCTCCCAGGACGGACAGACGTGCAATAGATGCCGTGTGTAAATTGAAAAGATAATACATTTGCAACATAGGTAGTCCAAATGTTTGGAAATGCATGTGTGTATAATAGGAAGATGAATCCACGAGGATATCCATCCAGGACCTATGATCCAGGACCACAGCCACGACTCAAGATCCAGGGCTCGCGATGCAGGACAGAGGAGCGCAGGATCATCATGACTCCGGATCCCGGCGTATATAGACACCAAAAAGAAAGACATTTGGGGAAGCTGGGTTAATCGGAACATGAGAGTACACAGGTATAGACAGAGAGAAGGAAGAAGGAAGATGTCCCCCGACAAACTAAGCCTATATCAGCAAAACTAGGGGCTGAATCTAATCAGCCCTAACTATAAGCTTTATCAAAAAGGAAGGTCTTAAGCGCACTCTTAAAAACGGATAGGGTGTCTGCCGCCCGAACACAAACTGGAAGCTGATTCCACAAATAAGATAAGAAAAAACGTTGCGAAAACGTTTCGCAATTATGCCACATCAAGGTGGAACGCTCTTCCCACAACTGTAAAGGAAAGTAAAACTATACTTACCTTCAAAACCTCTCTTAAAGAGCACCTTCGGGGGAGAGCATTGCAAAACTGGCCCCGGTAATAGTACAAATCTCAACCTGTCGTTCAATGGACAGCTTCCCCCCCCATCTATGTATATACTCGCATTTTAGACTCTGTTACTAACTGTATATCTGTAGACTTGGTATGTCTTAAATGTCCGGTTAGGATGTATTAGAACGAAATCTAAAATGAAAATTGTAAACAAGCAATCTGTATATAAAAAAACCACCTGTATGTAAATTGTAAATAAGCCACCTGTATGTCAAATATGTCTTAAATGACATGATGAATTGGAAATGGGGGACCCTGATGTAAACAAGACGAAAGTCTTTCTCTGGTCTGCATCCCCTTAACAATTGTATGTTTTGAGCTGTACTGTACTGTACCCAATATACAAGCTGTTAATACACTTTTCAATCAATCAATCAAACAGCATTTCACATTGGACGGAAAGGGTATTCCTTTAGGGAGAACACTTCTTGTTTGTGATTGGACAGAGTCAGCCATAGAAGCACTGCTGTGATTGGTTGTTTTTGCTGCCAGTCAAGAAATGACGCTTCGTGATTGGCCCAACACATCAGCCGTTAGCTGTTAGCACACACTCAGAGCTCACAGCTCCTCATATCTGTTCAGAAACTGGACAAAAGTTAAACATATGCAAAACACAGACTGTCGTCATGGCGAATACAGTCGCTGCTTTATTTATGTCTGTATGACGTTGTTGTGAGTGTGCTGTGAGCAGCTACAGGTTAGTTTAGCCTGATCGATCCGATTCCGATAGGATTTACATGGAGATACGGCCCGCCCCCTCTCCAGCGTCTTGTTTGAATGACAGGAGTAAACACAGAATTAATGCTTTATTAAGTCATGGTTTTTAAGGGGCTTATCTCCATGTGAATACTATGGTAGACTACTCAATATTCGCATCGCTCTAATCGCCCGAGTTTCACGCGGCTGTCAGCTGTGTTTGCTCCTGTCATTCAAACAAGAGGCGCTGAGAGGGGGCGGGGCGTATCTCCATGTAAATCCTATGGGAGATACCAACTACAACAAAATGAACATATTTGACCGTGATTTAATTGTAATACACGTTTCAAAGTGATGCCGAAGTAACTACATACTGATAACGGTTAGTAAAAACCATGAATTAACGCTTTGACAAGTCTGCAGATAAGACGGCAGGCGAAAAGCTTTTAAAATGCGTGTTTTCTGAATGGAATCGGACCCATCAGGCTAAACTAACCTGTAGCTGCTCCGTCCACACTCACAACAACGTCATACAGACATAAATAAACCAGTGACTGTATTCGCCATGACACAGACAGTCTGTGGTTTGTACATGTTTAACTTGTGTCCAGTTTCTGAACAGATATGAGGAGCTGTGAGCTCTGAGTGTGTGCTAACGGCTGATGTGTTGGGACATATTTCGCTGTCGGGTGTTGACCAATCACGAAGCGTCATTTCTTGACTGGCAGCAAAAACAACCAATCACAGCAGTGATGGCTGGCTCTGTCCAATCACAAACAAGAAGTGTTCCCCCTAAGGAATACCCTTTCCGTCCAATGTGAAATGCTGTGGTGTTTTGTGAAATGCTGTGGTGTCTTGCACTTCAGGTCCACCGTAGATGGCTATGGTCCTATTGTGTAATAATACAAAAAAAAATGCTCTGGTTTATTCAAGCCAAAGCTGAACAGCCACAGAAGTGACCGGCTGAAGAGAACACTTCCAGCTGACCATGCAGTGCAGGAAGACATCCAAATAAAAAGGAGGATGTTGGGGACAATGGAGCAAACATCCAGCCGCAACGCAGACAACATGCAGCAGATAAATGCCAACTTTGCCAGCATTACAAGCACTATTCAGGAAAGCTTTTCCATGATGAGGGAATTAATGCATAGTAGCGGCGGTGGATATGGACAACCCCAGGAGCGCTCACCACCATTCATGCAGTCATTACTCAATAACAAGACGTGAGTACTTCTCCCACCTCGGGTTAAAAATGACTGTAGAACATTATTATTTGAACACCCTATTTTCAGATGAAAAATGTTATATCCTTGTTAAACACCTGAACTTTTGAAACAATATTAATCTGGCTGCAATTTAGAAATGATGTATTTAATATATCATATTCAATCACTTGCATATAGACTCTTATTGCACTATTCCACTTTTTTACTATTTTTCTTTTTGTATTTACTTGCACCATTTTTTCTGTTTTATTGTGTTGCCCTGTTGGAGGAGCCTGTGACCTAAGATGTTCATCGTCATAACTACGCTGTGGCTATGCACGCATGACCAATACAAGCCTTGAACCCTTTCTTTCCTTAAATAACCTTTATCCAATTGAAAACACTTTCAACACAATACACAACATTGTGAATGCCGTCTAAGATGTTATCTGTCGTTTGCTTCAAAACAGAATAATGGAGCCGCAAGAAGTGGAACATGTGAACCGAAGAAGTAGCTCCAGGATTCTGAACCAAAAGCGGTTAAAATATGAAGTAGATGATGGGGACAAGGACACAGATGAAGAGGAGGAGGAAGATCAGGAAGACGATGAGCAGCCAAACACATCCGAACACACCAAGAGAACACAACCAAGTATAAATAATACATTTAAACCATTTATCTTGTATTTTGGACAAAACCAGCTGTTTTGCAATGTGCGAGACATTCTCTAAGAACATTGTCTATGACATTAAAATACACTCAATATTTTTGCAGCTAATAAATATTCTGAAAGTTGTTAGTCATTGTTTGTTTGACAATGATGTCCATTTGTGCACAATTCAGGACTCGTGACTGTAACCTGTGGGAACAAAACGGGAATCCTCTTCGTAGAGAAGCTGGAGAGGGGTAAGCACACACTTGTTTTTCTATTTCCTTATTCGTGATTCCTAAAGCCTTTTTTGTTTTTTAACATGTGTTGCTTTATGTGTGTTTAGGTGAGAAGTGTATCAAGAGTGAGGGCCGCTGGTTTGATCCCACAGGATATGAGATCTTTGGGGGGAAACCTCTGCAGTTTTGGATTGATGTAAGATACTATGATCACTGAGAGGTTACTTTCCCAACAATACATCTAAAAGGAGAGCGACTGGAACGGCAACTCAAATCAGAATACAATGTGATATAAATGAATGCAACATGACCGTGATGATAATGCTGCATTTCCTTTATTCTCCCAGAAATGTAAGATCCCGCCCCCAGATCTCACACCAGAGAGCATGTCTAAAGTGTTGGCAATGAAGACAGAGGAGGAAGAAAGAACGGTTCCTGATGTTGCTGATAACAACAGTAAAGGTGACCGAAACATGTTTCACAGATTTATAAGAAATGAAGGAACTTAGAAAGATTACCGTTAGGCCGGTCACGATAATACATTTGGTTGGACGATACATTTTCCCGGAAATTATTGCGATAAACGATAATATTGTCGGCACCGTTGTAAGACCATTTTAGACCACTGACATAATGATAATTTATAATAATAATTCAAGTACATCCTATCAAACAGAACTTTGTATTGAACATTCAACATTGCAAATGAAATGTGAAATAATATTCAAATATATAAATGATATATAATAAATAAAATAAATACATTTAATAACAAATTAATTAAAATTAAACACAATCAATTAAATAGACTCAGAAAACAGAGCTCGCTCTCTCTGTAGGGAAGGTGGGGGCTCTCCACCTCGAGCTGCCGTGTTTGCTCCCAGCTGGGAACATGGAATGGGTAGGTTGTGTTTCAGGTGCACTTTAAGGTTGGTCGTATTGCTAGCTTTTGTTGCTACCTTTTTTAAACAAATGCGACACACCGTCCGGCTCATTCAAGTCCGTAGGTTCGCCTCGTTGATTTGGCTTGAATCCAAAATATTCCCACACCGGAGATGTGGAATTAGGTTTTGCAACCACTTCCATTTCACTTCAAATTCCCCTCGAGTAAGTCACACGTTGTCTCCTGCTCGTCTCTATATTATTCATTTGGCTGCTGCACTACTTTACGCGGAGTGTCCTGACCTGGCTGTGTGTCCTGACCTGGCTGTGTGTCCTGACCTGGCTGTGTGTGCTGACCTGGCTGTGTGTGCTGACCTGGCTGTGTGTCCTGACCTGGCTGTGTGTCCTGACCTGGCTGTGTGTCCTGACCTGGCTGTGTGTCCTGACCTGGCTGTGTGTCCTGACCTGGCTGTGTGTCCTGACCTGGCTGTGTGTCCTGACCTGGCTGTGTGTGAGCCCCGACCCCTCACAGCGCGCCGGGCTGGCAGCCACAGCGCTCCTGGCTACAATTCTGGTCACATCCTTATGTAAACAAACACGCATGTGAACGGCAATTTATCGAGCTCAGAAAAGTTATCGAGTCCATTTTTATTTATCGTACGATAAGTCAATTTATTGATTATCGCGACAGGTCTAATTACCGTGAAATGTTCTTTTTTTCTGTTCTCAAGTCACAAACACGGGAGAGAAAACTATTTGGATCAGACTTGTGAAATGAATCACGATAGTATTTTTTCTCATTTGCCTCTCAGGGCTGCCGTAGATTTGCTGAAAGCCATTTTAATCTATAGATGTGTGTCAGTATGGACTATGTTTTATTATGGGCGACATCCAAAGTCAAGAAAGATAATTCCACAGCTTTATCTAACTTTAATGTTCAAGTGTCTAATCTTTAACCTTCATTTAATTTGTGAGCAGACAGTTGGTGTAAGCCATTGCACGAGGGTGCACAAAATGAAGAGAGGGGAGCTCACAGAGTCTCGCCAATAGATGATCCCATTGATATCTCAACAACCGTCCAACCGTCAGAGGAGCAGTTTACACAAAGTAATGAAATAAAAGAAGATGGACAGAGAGAACTTCAAACCGAAACATCGCTATCTGCTCCAGCTACCTCAACACCAGCAATCAAACCTGAAATCCTGGAGAAAGCTGAAGACACTGAAACAGCCAGCGTTCAGACTCCGCTGTTAGTCACACACATAACTGGAAACACCAGAGACGCTGCCTCAAACACAGCATACATTCAGGAAGGTAAGGAAGAGATTATTCGTTTTTTTATTTATTGAAATCTCCAATATCAACGTAAGAGCTTGTGCCTCTTCGGGGGGGGCTAACAGTTAACCATAAACGCTATCGTTTACTTTCTCCGTCTTTTATATGTAGATATGACTTTTCCTCCATTAATCACCGTCACGTTGTTTCCATAGCAACAACAACTTCCTATCAACTGCGCTAACTCTCCTTCAAAATAAAAGCATGTCCATTACATTAGAAAGCCAAGCCAAATTACACTTAAGACATATACAACTGCAACGAAAGTATCAAACACAATGCGATATCCTTTTCAATTTCAAAGAACACAAATTGGGTTACATTAACAAATAACTATAAAACAACAATACTGTAGAATAACAAAAAGAATGCCGTGAATAAACCGAAATACACGTGTCGAAGCGGTTCGCTGCTGATTACTACGCACCCCCCCCCACACGCGGAACGAATATTCGCTGCTGATTACTACCGAATATCCGGAGCCCGAAAAATGGTATTCGGGACAGCCCTACTAGACACAGCGTGCAAGTTATTTATAAACCATTAGATGTTTGTGCAAGACCACGTGGAATAATATTCTACTTCCTGTGCAGGTCCTCAGAGCGAGCTGGATGACGGTTGTCATGACGAAACAGAGGTAACGACATCTGGTCATGATGCTGCACAATTACAAGGGATGGAGACAGAAACAAGGTAAGGTGCAACACGCAAATAAACAAAGAAGCTTCATTTGCATGGGATAGTGGTGGTCCAATGGATAGTGAGGTGGGCTGAAGATCGGAAGGTTGTGAGTTCAAATCCCGCCAGGAACACCACCACTAGTGTGCCCTTGAGTAAGGCACTTAGCCCTTAGTTACTCCAGGGAGAATGTCCCTGTGATTGGTCATTGTAAGTCGCTTTGGATAAAAGCGTCAGCTAAATGAAATGTAAATGAAATGTAATGCATTTAAGCAAGACATACGATTTATTTTTTCATTTGTACATTGTACATTGTTTTCAGTTATTTATTTCTATGCTTGTTTATTTATGTTTCTTCCACAGGGTTCCCCAAGCCTCAAAGAGCACTCCAGTCTCCACTTCCTGTAATCTGGATACAATGGACCTTGAGCAGCTGAAGAGAGAGAAAATCAAAATGAAACTAAAGATCATGAAGTTGCAAGAGGAGTACTACACTCTGAAAATAAGGGAGATTAAAAAGTGAAATAGTTTTACTGTGGCATAAATGTTATCGACGACAGGTTGGACAAAAGGACAATGCAACCTGTATCACCAAAAAGGACAAACGTTGTTGGACACTGATAGCAAAAGACAACAAGTGTTGTTCCTAAGTAATCCTTCATGAGACCATTTGCTGCATTTAATGACAAAAGGCTTTTTTTATCATTTTTTTTTAAAGTGAAAGAAATATTTCTTCTTGAATTCTCAAAGCGTGACATCATTTTTGTTGGTGAGAGAAAATGATTGTACTGTACCAGACAAAGACTTTATCTAAAATGTGCATCAGAGGTTGACGAGGTAGCCAGCCGGGTTTGTTTCCTGTGGCATCAAACATCTTCCTTCAGGTTATATAAAGCTAATCACTTTCTTTAAACCTCAAACCATTTACCTTTCCTTAACTTTGACTCTTAATCCTAAGGTTAAAACATGTGTTTACTGCGACTGTAGTAGAGCATCGCAGTTTGACCACAGAAACATGAAGACAATAAAAACATGTGCCAGAAGTTAAGGTTAACATAAAAACAAGAGTCAACAAAGAGTCCCAAAAGGACAAAGAACCGTACTCAAGGAGACACAAAGGCCAATTTAAATAAATGTGTCTTCAGTTGTTTCGTAAAAGCTGCTACAGCGACCGCAGACTGAATGTTTTTAGTAAGAGAGTTCCATAGTGTTGAATCCACTACTATTCTATGTGTACACCTTTCTGTATGCATTAATAGAGGAACCATCCAGATGTAGCAATATCGAAATATTTTGGGATAACTTGTAATCGTACTTTTCTGATTGTACATATATTAGTAAAAACCTCTTAGTAAAACTTGCTTTGAGCTTTGAGAGGAAATGTACAGCACATATTGACATTTAATAAAAACTCTGTGTGTAACTGTTAATGTGTGTGATACTATCCGTGAATAGAAAACTGCGATCTGGTGACTAAAAGGGACAGTCTTTATTTCAGGGTATCATATTTACTCTCAAACAATATTTATTACCAGCCATGTTTGCATTCATGTGTAAGATTAACAAATAGAAGGCATAGCATTATTTTGTACATGTTGTATTTACAGATCGATCAAAGCAGTGAGTGTTACTATTCTGTCATGTTCTCATCCTCCTCGTCATTTTCCATCTCCTCTTCTTCATCATCATCTTCATCATCAAAGTATTTATCCTCCTCGTCTCTGCTGACGATGTCCAAGTTGTCGTAGTCCGGGTTCTCGTCCACTTCGCTGAAATGGAAACACAAACGCTTAAACTACACGCTTTCAAAGTAACAAGAGTTTGGTAACTTTTTCTGGACATTATCGTACATGTACTTTGTTGTTTGCTAATATACATTTCCTGTATTAGTTTGAATATTTAACAATCAACCGCAGAATATTTACAAAGTCCTTAAGGCATGATGCATCTGTGTGAAATGTCAGCGCCACCAATAACATGTATTTAAATACTCGAGACCAGCAGTGTAGAGGAAGGCCCAATCCCAAACCACGCCCTACCCCTCCGTTCGCGCAGAGGGTCCGCCTCTTTAAGGGCTGTTCCAAACCAACGAGTGTGGAGGGGGAGTGGGCTGTCAAGCCCTCAAACAGCGAGTCTGCATCGGTGCTGACTGGAGACCGGTCTCAACCATGGATGTATAATAAGAACGTCTCAACGCTGTGTGTGTCCGTCAGGAAACACGCTGTTTACAAGTAGTTCCAGAAAACATCCACTGATAAACTGCGATGTTAACAACCTCATGATAACCTCATATGTTTTTAACTTCGGATCAAACCTGTGTTTAGTCTAGAAAAAGGTAAATGTGTGCATTTTATTATAAAGTTGTGTATATTTTATAAGCTTATAAAATGAGGTTTAAAACTAAAAGAGCTTTACAAAAAAGTAACACAATTACAGATGTTTGGAATTTTATTTTAGTTATTAATTTAAATGTTTTGTCAAAGAGATGCTGATTTGAAACCGTTGTTACGTACAGTTACGGCATTTCCTGTTTCTGCCGGAGAGGGGAGGCCGTCCCAAAGCCTCGTTGAGCTGCGAGTGTCACTCCACAGAGTTCACTGTGTCACGTAGGGGTAGGGCGTGGTTTGGGATTGGGCCTTAGTCTTACAAATAATCAACAATCTAAATAACCCTTCAGTGCATATAATTAATATTAATAGAAAAACAGACAAAACAATGTTTACATTTATTATTAATAATTGGAAATTGTGTGGTTTGTATGTATGCCTGTCCAAATCCACTCCGTATCACCTAGTAACGCAATTTCTAAACCCTTAACCACTTTCTAGTTTGTTTCCACTTTAGAGTCAACACTGATCAGACCTCTCTTAAATCTATTTGAGGTCATCTTTTCATAGTGTCAGATAACCTTCAGTATTCATTTACTAACATCTAACAAATGTATTATAAAATATAGAATAAACCCTATTTTTCTTTCCTTACTATGACGCCCAATTCCCTGTTGTGTAACACAGATGGCGCCCTAACATAGCATAGATGTGAGCTGTCGTTATGGCTGACCTGTAGTTGATATCCTTGTCTTTGCCATCCAGGAAGCGCTGGTGCATCTGACCGATGAACTCCTCTCTGAGCAGAGCCTTCTCCTCTGCCGTGGGCTCCCAGTCCTTCTGCTGGGCGGTGATCACTTCCGTAGGAACGGGAAGAGAGACAGACTTAGTGAGTCAAAGTAGGATCGGGAGAAGAAGACAACAGAAACAGGGTTCTTTTCACTTCAATCCACAGAAACCACATTCACCCCACTTTAAATGTTCTTTTAGTCTTTTTTATTTACCTACCTTTATATTGTTTTATTAATTGTATAGGTCTTAATCTTTTTATTTGTATTTCTGTAGTGCATATATGTTCACTTTGTTTTATGGGGTTTTATATTTTATATTGTTGAATCGATTCAGTTGTCTGGCGTGTGGCGCAGTGGACTAGAGCGTTGGTGTTGGGATCAGGGGGTCACAGGTTCAAACCCCACTGCAGTCAGCATGTCGTTGTGTCCCTGAGACACTTCACCCCAAATTGCTCCTGTGGGGATTGCCCACAGTATTGAGTATGTAAGTCGCTTTGGATAAAGCGACTAAACCTGATAAAATGTTATATGTTGCTGCATGTACCTTTCAAAGTTCTGAACAAATCATCTGAGGGGGTTTGTTTTTAACTTGTGATGTGTCATTTTGAGCTGCATGTGTTGTATGAAAAGTGCTATATAAATAAAGCTTTATTATTATTATAACACCAGCCTCTCTCACCATCTTCCTCCTCCTCATCCTCCTCCCTCGCTCCGTCCTCTCTCTCCTGCTCCCTCTGCAGGCGGTCCTGGATCAGACGCTCCTGGTAGGAGTTGAGGAGGAGTTGTGTGAGCCCCCCTTTGTTTCCTGCTGGAGCCCCCGGGCCCCCCTGTGCATCGTCCAGCATGGACTCCTGGGAGCGCGCCAGCACCTGGAACACAAGTCGTTTGGAAATGATGTAAAAAAAAAAAGGTAATTATGAAATAGAACTTTCCAGCACCGTCCTGCATCATGCTCTCACCTCCTCATCAGTCAGGTACTGGCCGATGTATTGTTCATACAGCAGCGGCTCCCTTATCCGCATCTGTTCGTCACTAAAATACTCTCCGCCTGGAAGAGGGAGGACAGAAAAGGACAGCATCTTAATTTAACGCACAGGTAATGGTAGATACAAGACTGATAGAAATGTTCGGGGTGGCAGCAGATATCTCAGCAGAAGATGTCTTTAAACCTCACTAAGTAGAACCGATAGTATATTTTTTAAAGTCTCAACTGGGGATTTCGTTGTCTGTCAAAGTACTTCATATATGCTGTATATACAAAAATATGTTTATCTATTTTTTCCCTGGAATATTGCAGTTTAATTGGATACTATTAAAACATTGACAATTAAATACATTTAATTTGTTTTACCAAAAACTACAACAAGTGACAGAATCTTCTCACACTCAACAATCTTTGAAAAAGCCATTGACAAATTAAAAATCCAGAAAGTTATAGAATAAAAAACAAAACATGGATTGCAGCATAACCCACTTTATACATGTTTCCCAGAAGAAAACAGGTGAAGCATATGTCAATCAATAAGTCCATTTTCTAGCCTGTCTTATTGATTCTTGTACTTGCGAGGTCTGAACTTGAATGAATGAACAAATCGTCTCTTTTGACTAAAGAAGGCCCTACCCTCCTGCAGGGCCCTGAGAGCCGCGTAGCGCTGGTTTCGAACCCTCGTCCTGTTGGTGAACGCTGCAGCTCGTCTCTCTATCACTTTGCCGTAGTGAAGAACCCGTGGATCTGAGCTGACGTGGGCAAACACTGACAGGTCCTGGGGCTTGAGGCACACCTAGAAATGGGTGAAGAGTAGATAGATGTTTAACCTTAAAGCTAATAGCTCCTTTCAGCTGCTGCCAAGTAAATATACACCAGTGGCGAACCGTGTCTATCACAACGGGACCTTCTGTAGACACACACACACCCCCCGCCGCCGCCTGTAATATTACAGGTCAACAACACGGATACAATTCTCTTTTATTGACATTTTATTTATAAAATTAAATCGATTTTTGTTTGTTTTATCTGAGTGTGTCAGGGTGTTCTCTGAATACCTTGAAGGCCCTGACGGTTCACCACTGATATACACACCAATGCGTTTGTATATAGAAACATAATGGAGCAGTGTTCAGTGTTTGTTTACTTTTCGTTGTGTGCTTTTCATATTCTGTTCTTGTACATATCAAATTCTATTTACATGTATATAGAGTTTTTGCACTACTTTTTATTTTGTATTTTTATTATATATGTTGCATTGTTGGAGGAGCTCAGGTCAGAAGAATTCCATTGCCATTTCTACACTGTAGCTAGTTTGTGCATATAACAATACAACCTTTACTTTGAACACTTACATGGTACCTCTCCAGGAACACCAGCGGTCTGCTCCTGTACTGCTGCAGGAGCTCCTCTCTGCGCTGATCCAGGGTCAGCTCAGCGTCTCCTTTCTGCTGGCTCTTCACTGAGCTGCCACTCCTGGCTATGGCCTCCACCATGTCATTCACACAGGTGGACTCTGCCTGGCTCACGGGCTGTGTGACAAGCAGACAAATAAATAAGATGATAAGTAGTGAGTATACAAAACAGGTCATGCTGCTGATGTTGGGGGTGCTTGGGACCTAAGACTGCCATTGCCATATCTACACAGTAGCCACTTTGCACATGACAATAAAGCTTTTGAATATTTGAACCTTGGATATCTCACCTCTGTGTCTTGTTGTTGTTGTTGTTGTTGTGGCTGACGTGTGTCTGCGGGGCGGTGAAAGCCACATATCTGGGAAAATGTGACCCCATTTTCTTCTGGTAATTCAGGCTCGTCTTTGCTCTCACACAAATTAGGTTGTGTTTGAACTGGAGGGTCTATTTCACCCCACATGGTTAACGGTTAGCTTAGCTTTCTAACGTGTTTACAGAGGAAGCTAAGTGAATTAGCATTAAACAAGCTAACGTTTATGTCCGTTGTTGGCCGTTATACTGTACTGAAAAGGTTGTCGTGGAAACCGAAGGTGCTGGTAAATTGTCTCAATTTGGTGTGAACATTCACTCGTGAAAAAAAACTATTAATTACAGATGAATTCCACACATTTGTTTCAGTTGTTTAGCATTAGCAATGTTTTGCCGCCATGTTGGTCCGTCAAAATTATTGGTCCCCCAGACGGAAAGAATGGTTCCGCCCGGACGAGACTGCTGTTGAATTTGTCGCCATCCGGTGGTAGCTTTGTCACAGAAGAAAGTGGACCTAATACTACTGCTTAAAAATATATATTTGTATGGCCTCAAACTGTGGAGAAGCCTCCCCTTGGATCAGCAAACTCCCGTAGAAATGTAAAAGAGTACAATTAAGAGCTATCTTTTAATCAGTTCATGTTTGATTGTTTTGCGATGTAACTCTTTTTGTTTTGTTTGTATAATTTATTTTAGATTTTGTTTCTTATTAAGTTATTTTTAACTCGTTGTTATTGTTTTTAATTATCTTATCTTGCTCTGTAAAGCACTTTGGGCTGAATCTTGCACGTCAAATAGTGTACGTTTAAACTACTGCTACATTTAATCTCATTTTCAATTTCCACTTTCTCCCTGCTGTATTAGTGCTGATTAATATTAAGGAACCACACAATGCTTTAATGTTTGCAATAACAAACTAAATAGAGGTGCATCCTCTGTTTGCAGGATAGGCGAGTCACATAAATGTTTTACTACGGAGCCAAGAAGCGCTCAGAATCAAAGAGCCACTCCCACAGAAATACATGGACTTACATTTTATATTTGCGTATCCAATCCACTTTTTATTGTTAGATAGTGTGTTGCGGACCAACAATGACAAATAGCACGAACTGTTAATGTCTCAAATGTCACACCGTCACATCGATGCTTTCAAAAACAATTGTAAGAATTGCTCTAAAACGTGTCTGTCCTCATTCGGTAGGCTAAACAATGCGAGTTGTATTTTGAAAGTTTTAACAGGAAATAGTTTGTTCTCATCCTAGTTGACTTCGCACAAACTTCTCGCGTCAGCTTCCAGAAACTCTGCCAGTGTTTCGGTTGTATTTGTTCGAGATTAGCAATAACATGGACGCCATACGGGAACGGTAAAGATAATATCAAGGTACGTAATTAAAACGGATTAATGCATGCTGCGTAACTCTTTGAGAAACTGCTTTAAAGTAGACTGTCAAACCTATTTTAGTATTACATTACATTTAATTTAGCTGACGCGTTATCCCTACATTAAGTGCAATAAACCATGAAGATACAATCTCAGAGCAGCAAGAATCCTGCTGTTAGATTCACTTTGAATGAACCAAACCATCGTAAGTGGTGTTGCAATAGTTTCAAATAAGCTAAAACCCTTTAAGTCTACTACGTTTTAATATATTTTACAAAATCAGGAGGATACATACTTTACTGACTCATTCATATTTAACGTGAAAACTATCATAACATCAATACAAGTTTGTTGGTGAAAAGTCGACTATATTTACTCCAGTACTGTACTTAAATTGAGGTACTTCTACACCAATTGAGTATTTTCACAGTATAATACTTATATATTATAGTATTTTTTCCAACTTTTCTCCACTTCTGAGTAATTTGCAGGACATTTGGGAGCATGGACATAACTTTGTTTTGAAAAGTGGCAAGGACCCTTTATTCACCCATAAAACAAAATGTAACACAAGTAAAGTAAGCCTTCTATTTGTCAGCAACACCTGTAAAGCCAGGATTTACAATGTGGGGCTACAACCTAATTATAACCTTAAAGACAATATCAACACCTGCAGCCTGGATATTCAACAGGATTTACACGGACCGACTACAGGACAATATCACTCAACACATGTATCATCTGTCATACAGGATTTACACAACATGATTACAACAATATCAACACAGCAGGCCTTTTCAATGACAAAAGCAAACACTTCTGTCCCACAACGGATCTATGATTCAGATTCTTACTTGACCATCATCCCGCCCTGCTGTTGCAAAGCGGGAGCCATGTTTGCTTTTCTATTTTCTATTAAAAGTTGACAATCATTAAATGTGTCACATGTCTAAATTAGGCTCACAGAAATACACACCCAGCAAGTGCAAATAGACACATTTCTCTTGAGATCTGCTTTTGAGCGAAGAGTTCTTTATTTATTACATTTCTTTGTGCATGGAATCATTTAAACATTTAAAAAAATCATACTTTTAAAAGGTGGTGGGGGAGACAACATTGGCCATTTCAAAAAGTGTTGGTGTCATGTCCAGCATCCCTAGCGTAAATGACACAGATTTTTGCAAAGTTTTTCTCTCTGCTTTGCGATTTAAAAAGCTGCGGAAAGCAGAGTCATGTTTTCCCCTTAGACTGGACTTAATGACAGCTGCACTCAAAACATTGTTTACATTCCAACACAAACACGCAGGGATATTCTGGGGCTAAATTAAGCCGCTGTTGCCCCCTTTGTCTTCCTATGCAGTCTTTCATACAATAGATATGTCTCATGGCACAATGAGTGAGGTCATCTTGTCAGCTCTGATATCAGACGTTACATTACTATGAGTAGCCTAAGACTTGAACTGAGTCACAGATAAGCTTTTGGTGGGACCATAACAACAACTGCAGTGTTTTAACAATACTGTCTCTTAAAGTGTTTTTTCGTTAGGACCATAAAGAACATTTTAAGTAACGCTATGTTGTAGAAGGACAATAATACCCCCGCAAAATTATCGAAGACATGCTCTCTCATTTCTAGTCTTAAAGAGGCCCTATTATGCTTTTGGGGGGGTTTCGCTATCCTGTAGTGTGTTATGTAGGTTTTTGTGCATGTTATTGGTCTGCAAAGGCTACAACCCCTCCAGAGGGAGAACATTTGGAGGGGTAAAGTGGACAGGGATGAAAAATGCTTTATGTTATGAGGTTACACTAGTACAGTATTAGTGTTTGTTGTGCATGGAAACTCATGGCCCTTAAACTCAGCTTTGCAACATCCCAAGTGTGCGTCAATGTTTTTCTTCACTTCCTAGGTCCAAGCTTCGATCTGAATCCCTGGTAATAATGGAGACCGAGTTTGGAGCGAATTCAGGTGCCTTCATCCCGAGCCCCCATAGTGACGCCGTGGCCAATGAGCTGCAAGAGATGTCCCTGCAGCCCGCCCCCAACCTGCTGCCAGTCAGAGAGAGGAAAGACGGTGAGCTGCAATTTTTTAACACTCAATATCAACCCGCTTCCACTCATGCAAAGTTACATTTGGTGTCCCACAAGGGTCTTTAATGGGCCCACACATTATGTTATTTCTAAAACAATGGAGCAGAAAAACTAAGGAATATTATTATAAATACAATACTTTATAGAACATCTTATTTGTTCACCTTATAGGATGTTGCATTTGTAATGAAACTCTGCTCCAGATGTGTCTCGAAAGCAGTCTGTGGTTAAAACTGTTTTTTTTTTTTCTTCTGATGTAAGGCTTTTTTACACCTTGTATTAAACAAACACTCAGGTTTTTATTTTGGGTCCCTGTTTTCTGGTTCCTGATGTCTACTTGTGAGTGTGTTGTCAGTCATGTTTTTTCAAAGGCTACAGCTTCTACTTGTTTTGTTAGCTACTTGCTTAACAGGAAGAGAGGATTTAGTTCGATTTGTTTAGTGTACTTTTTTCTCACGATCCTGGTCATGCTGTACTACTTTCTTTCAAACTTGGCTCTGTGACTATAAAAGAGTGAAATGCTAATAGCCCTAATCTTTATTTTTTTCCTTTTAGTTATGTTTTTTATGCATTTGACCAATTATAGCCCACTCCTGAGCACAAATTAATATAGATGTTATGCCAAGAGATCCAGATAAATCGCCATAAAGAGAGAAAGGACACGGTGCCTTAAGTGTAAACCCTTTTCCCCTGAATGGATAAAGTGTAATCCACCGGAGAGAATATGTTCCTCCTTTCTTCTCCTCAGAAGGACACATCACAGGGATCTTCGGTTTTTTACATTTCAGTTTCAGAAGTGCAATAGCAAAAATATCTGCTACTGTAAGTAAACAACTGACAGTTAATTGAAACGTAGGCAAAGGACTGTACCAGTTAGACAGGTATTACCTCTATTTTACAATGGGCATGTCACCACCTGCTGGCAAATACTAATACTACAACAACCCTTTTAAAAAAAATAGAAAACACATGTGAACCCATGGTTTTGAACACAATACGGTTTGATGTAGTTCATTTTTAGTCTCCTTCAAGTCGTGGGAATCAGTCCCGGATAACCCCTGTGTGTGTGTGGTGTGTGTGTGTGTGTGTGTGTGTGTGTGTGTGTGTGTGTGTGTGTGTGTGTGTGTGTGTGTGGTGTGTGTGTGTGTGTGTGTGTGTGTGTGTGTGTGTGTGGTGTGTGTGTGTGTGTGTGTGTGTGTGTGTGTGTGTGTGTGTGGTGTGTGTGTGTGTGTGTGTGTGTGTGTGTGTGTGTGTTGTGTGTGTGTGTGTGTGTGTGTGTGTGTGTGTGTGTGCAACTCTAGCCAGTGTGCACAGTTTAAGAGGCTCTGGATATAGCGGTGAGGGCAGCTGGTCCTGCTATTTAAACCAGTTGGAGAAAGTAAAGAGGTTAAGAGCAAAGAGAGATGTAATATCAGAGGAGGGGGATGGGTGGGAGTAAAGAAAGCTTATTGGCTGAGGAAATGGGCAAACTGGGTGCAGGAGTTCTTAAGAGGAATGAAATAAAAGGTTAAAGGAAGAGATCCTACTGTATGTGAGTTTAAAGAGGAAAGGTGTAAGAGCAGACACGGGCCTATACCGACACACTGTGGTTGTTGTGAGTTTGTTTCTGAGGTTGTTTTGAGTCTCTTTGTAGTGTTTTCATGGTTTTCTGTTTCTTTGTGTGAGGTTATTTTGTCTGTTGTATCTTTTATTGATCTGTTCTGGCTTTTCTTGGTCTAATATTTCATTCTTATTGGTCATTTTGTGGCTTCTTTCCTAGTTTTTCTGTGTCTTTGAGGTCATCTTTTTTCTTAAGTAGTTTTTGTGTCTTTTCAAGGTAATTTTTGTGCCTCTTTGTCGTCATCTCTTACTCGCCTCTTCAAGTGATATTTTGGCAGACTTAGACCCTGCGAGGCCTGTTTAGTATTCCACACTTGTCCGCAATTAGCAACTTCTGCCAAAGAGACTTAGTCGACAACACATGCGCTGATGGAAAATTCACTGAAGGAAAAAAGCGTCTCCTACTAATCTGTCTTTGGATTTTGTTTGAATGACATCAATAGTAAATAACTACATTTCTATTCGTATATGAAATCAGGAAGTAAGAATAATGCACCTGAGAATCTCTATGGAACCCAAACTTGGTGACTGCTTTTGTTCCATTTACATTTTTAAATGCTGAGTCTAAATATTGAAAGAAAAAATCTGATTATTGTATATAGTAACATTTATGACCACACCACCAGGGGAGGGGGAGTGGGAGATAATTTGACACTTGTTTACAGGTTTATCTTGTTTTAGGAAGCGCATAGATGTCGAAACCGAAGACGAGGCTGACGCGTACTAATAAATAACTGTGTAAAAATACATAAACCTCATTTATAGCTATGGTTAAGTTATTAAGAAAGGAATTGTACCCTGGCTTATTTCAATTCTGTATCTGTTTTTCCTTTAAAACATTTTTAATTAATCTTTTAAAATGCTTCTCAGCAACAACCACATATGGGATTCACAGCCTTCACATACATATTAACTGTGACAAGCTAGCATGAATAATTAGCTTAATGTCTTGAAGCCGGGATCATTTCCTTCTGTGTGTAGTGTTGTATCCTCGGAGCTTTACTTTAATATCTCTCTGAAGCACTGAGTCAGGTTTTTAATGAACACACACACTGACAAATGCATGTACAGCAGCCACTTTTGGCCCTCTAGTCTCACCATTTCCTCTCAGTAGCATTACAACAAATCCGTTTAATAGATCCATGGACTTCCTCTCTAGAGAAAACAGATAACCAGGATTTCTAAAGGGTCAAAGAGGTCAAGCTCAAGGCTTAAAGGGGACTTATATTGCTTTTTCGATTTTTCGATTTCCTGATGTGTGTTATATAAGTTTGTGTGCATGTAAATGGTCTGCAATAGCTAAAGTCCCAGAGTTTCTCCCCCACACACCCCCCACTGTCTGAAACTCCTCCATTGGACTCCTTTGTTTACTTCCTGAATATAATGGCATCACTTTGTAACACTCGTGCTTCTATTGGCTAGCGCTACCATACATTGTAGACTTAGGGGCAGGATATCTCAAAGAGGTTGACCAATCACAACAGAGCCAGCAGAGCAGGACTGGGCTCTGGTTTCAGACAGAGGGTGAAAAGAGGTGCTGCAGCACAGGCAGTATAAGAAAAATATACCTTTTTGAACATTAAAGCATGGAGACATGTCACAGTAGAGACACTACATACAAATATGAACCTGAAAAGGAGCATAATACGTCCTCTTTAATGATGCAGCTGGTAAAGGTGGCGTTTATTTCAAATACTTTATATAGTGGTGAGTAGCTTAACCTATAATAATATATCATAATTGATTGATTTGATTTATATTTGGATTAATAACATGCAGTAGAAAAAAGAGAAAGCACACTTTGTAATCCTCTAGGAGAAATCGAGCCCGTAAATGCTGCATAATAAATGTAGGGGTGTAAAATGTTAGTATTGCCTTCAAAATGTAGTGTATTACAACTATAAGGAAGCATCATTTGAAAATACTCAATTGAAATACAAGTAGCTCCCATTTTTACAGCACATACATGTAGATACACTCTTTGAGAATAAACATCTACACACAAACACACCCAGCCAAGCGGGATTATCCCTGCCGGCGTTTTTGTCGGGGTCTTATCTGAAGTAATGGTGGATCACAGTGCTGATTCGTTTCCCCTCTCTTGTCAGACTGTGGACTTCTTCGCCTGGGGACACCACATCTTGAATATTAACACGCTCTCATACAGAAATGCACCCGCTGACACATCATCCTGCATATTTAACGCACACACACACACTTGCAGAAACAGCTATGTATGTGCATCAGATCCCTTAACAGTCCTTTATTCCTGCACTCATTGCTCTGTTTTTCAAGCCACTAATTAATTTGTTTCATCAACATAAAGTGAACATGACAAGCAGCGACGGTTCGTTGTAACGCCACCCGACAGATGAGAAGGGAGCGCTTTGTTTTTTCACCTTGAACAGGCTCTCTCGCACCTTTTTATGTCATGTCACATTATCTGGTGTCAGCGGGGACAGAGCCTTAATAATGGAGATGAATGAAAGTGTCAGCGGACGATGTAGGTGTTTCATTCTGACAAGCAAGAAGGGAGGAGAGCCTGAAACGAGAGAGATTAAGGCGTGCATGTTGATATACGCTTTATTGAAACTTCAGAAAGGGAATACACAGCTAGTAGTAAGGCTAGCGATGCAGATTTTTACTTTTTTCTCAAGTTAAAACCACAATTGCTTAATGTGGAAGCAAACAACAAAAGGGAAAAGGCTTGTTATATTTAAATAATATCTCCCCTGTGTCTCCTGCATCTTAAATTATTGTACTTTTAAAAAGGTCTAAAGGAAAACTTGATCGACTGTAAACACATGTTCTGTCTCTCACGGACAGTTCTATAAGGTCTCAAGCTGTGGATGATAGAAAGTTGACGGTGATAGGAGTGGGAGTTTATTAGGATTCATTTTATTTCCTAAATCCTTGATTGAATTCCTTTGAGCATTTGTACATGGTGCAACTTAAAAAGAAAGGAAAAGCTACTCCTGTGTTACTGACTTCAACTACCCCGCTTGTTTATCCCTATATATTTTAAAATGTGTTGCCAATTCAAATAGTATCAGTGTTATGTAAGAGTGGGCTTTAAAGCAGCTGTGATGCTCCATATTTTTGGTCCAGCTATTTTTTCATTTACTCAGAAAGTTATAACTAATGCTGCGTCTAAATGCGGACATTTCCCTTAGTGCACTGCCATGTGGCTAGGGTTGCAAAGGGGCGGAACATTTCCGGTACATTTCTGGAAAGTTTCCATGGGAAGTTAATAAGAAATATTCGATGCAAAATTAAACAAAAAAACATGACATTTCAACAGATTATCTTTTTTTTAAGTAGAACAGAACCAAGTGTTAATTATTTTATTGTGTATTTGTTTCATTGAAGAACGAAAACAGGAAT